GCCCCGCCTGCGGGCGCCCTGCAGGATTCCTAATCGTGTCCCGCGCTCCCCCTCCCCGCTCTCTCCCGCACTCAGAGAAGCTGGCGGGGACCAAGCTGGAAGTGGAGGAGATCGCCCTGACCGCTGTGAGCCAGAGGCGCAAGCTCCAGGCCGTCCTGGAGGCCACCAACGGCAGCCTGCAGGCGGAGGAGCAGGCGGTCAAGTGGAGCGTGGACGGTGCGTGTCGGGGGGGACTGGGGAGCCTGAGTCCTTGGCTTGGGGAGGCCTCTCTCTACCCGCCAGGCACGGCTCAGCCGCCTCAGGTGTGGGCACCACCCGGGGGCTTGCAAGGAGGCAGAGGCCTCAGGCAGGTGCAAAGTCGGCACAGGGTCACGGTCCTGACCGAGGAGCAAACAGCCCTACGCACTCCTGTCCCCGAGGGTGTCACTTCAACGAAACCCAGCACGGGGACCATAAACAGTCTTGTCCTAACGCAGCCGCTATTTACTGAGGTCCAAGCACCGCGACGGCCCATCTTCCTTGGCAGAGGGGCCCCCGCAGGCCTGTCTCAGGAGTTTATTTCAGTCATATCTGCAGAGCGTGTTCGTAGAGAGTGAGGGTGTGCAAAGCACCGGGGCTTCCCGCCTCGTTAGGAGTTTGCTATGAATTTCCTGCCATTCCAACCTCTCCACTCTCCCCATTCCCCAGATGAGAAAACTGAGGCTGAAAGGAGGTAAGTAGTTTCTCTGAGGTGGCAATGAAGCAACTGTTTCAAACCCTCTTGTGGGGCCGCAGGCCACTGCCATCTCCACTTTCCAGCCTCAGGTTTAGTAACTGGTGTTTATAATGTTGACCCTGAATTAAGTCACATTTGGCTTAGATCTAACCATTTGTCCACCCGGTGTCCTACTGTAGGACAGGACGTGGCTGTTTTCAGGTGTAAACAGCGTTTCAGGGAACATCTATCTCCCTGTCTCCTCCCCGGCCACCCAGCAGGCTGTGTGCTCCGGGCTGTACTCAGAGGGAGGATGACTGAGGCCGTGTGTGACCATTTTGGGGTCGGAATGTCGATCTCCAGGCCTCTGCCTTCCAGAAGGCGGGACATGGGTCTCCGTGGTCTACAGAGGGTTGCTGTGACCATAAGGAGAGCTCCATGTGGCCCAGGTATGGGTGGCCCCTCAGCTCTGACCTCATGCCCCTCTCCCCTGCCAGCCATCTTCAACAAGGACCTGCTGGCCACCCTGCATCTCCTCCTGGCTCTGGCCAAGCGCTTCCAGCCCAACCTGCCCCTCCCAGCCAACGTCCAGGTGGAGGTGATCACCATGGAGGTAAGCATGGGGTGCATGGCTTAGGTCCACATCGCATCCCCGGGGTCGGGGGATGCTGCAAGGCCTCGTGGGGCTCAGGGCTCGTGGGCAGGAGGGTTGGCCAGCCACAGTGAGGGGACTGCCCGGGAGGCCACGCCGAGGGGGACGGGGCGCAGAGGAACCGGGGCTCCGCAGGGCTGCCTTGGCTCTCCAGACTGCGCAGCAGGCGTGGGCCGAGTGCCCTGGGATCACTCAGTCCCTTCCCTTTCCATCCTTAGAGCACCAAGAGTGGCCTGAAGTCGGAGAAGTCGGTGGAGCAACTCACTGAAAGCAGGTCGGGGAAGGAGCGGGGCCGTGGTGGGGCTGGGCCGGGTTTTGTGAAAGTCGGTGGCGGGCCCAGCCAGGGGCAGATCTACCCGCAAAACAGGCAGAGTTGGGGTCAGAGGGGCCCTGGCCCTCGGTCATGAGGTCACACCACAGCCACCAGGGGCTTGAGTGGAAGGCGCGGTTGGAGCCCACGGTGCCACGTTCCTTCACCCCTGTGACCCTAAAACCGCCCTCCTCTGCCCCTGTGAGTTCAGAAGCTGCAGTGAGGGCCCCCCCCATCTCTAGGCTATGAGCTGAATCCTGGACCCCACCGGGCGCCTGCCCCTTGGCTCTCTGCCTTTATGCTGAGCCCTGGGTCTCTGTCCCAGGCCACCCCCTCCCCACCGCCCCCCATGGTCAGCTCCCCTCAGAGGGGCCGCCTGGCTCCCAGGACAGCTTGGCCCGCTTTGGGCCCAGACCTTGCTTATAGGGGGCGGGGTGGGGTGGAAAATTTAACAAGAAAGTGAAAGAAAATCCCATTCAAAACAATAAAAACGGAGTGAAAGAAGCCGGACACACAAGAGCACAAGCTGTGTGATTTCACGGGCATGAACTTCTCGAACAGCAGCACTCGCGGGCGGGCGAGAGAAACCAAAGCGGGGCGAGGCTCGCGGGCGGCTGGGGGTGCGAGGCGCACTGTGGTGCTGCGGAGGCGCCCCCCTCGCTGGGCACGCGCAGGCTCTCGGCGAGGCCGCGCGCACGTTACTGTGTGTTCAATACACCTCTGTCCCCTTAAACCAGAGCAGCAGCCCCCCAAACAACAAAACCCGGGCATTTGCAGGCAAGAAGCTCGGGGGACGCGTAGGGGCCTCTGCTGTTTGCTTGCCCCGGGCCTGCCCCTTGCAAAGCTGCAGGGGTGGAGCACGCCCGTGTCTTTGTCAGCCTTGCCGCGGCCAAGTCTCGTCATATTAAAAAACTATGGGTCTCGGGGTTTTTTAACCATTTGTTTGTGCTTTTCTCCCCCACGATTTCCCCTCAGCACGGACAAAGGCCAAGGTCCCAGTGAGTATCGCTGCCACGTGAGGCACCCGTGTCTCGGGCACGTGGTGACAGCCACGCAGGCGCGGGGCTGATTGCCGGTGTCCTCTCCCCTTTGCCGTCTGCACTTGCATCTCGAGCTTTCTTCCGGCCCATCTGTTGCTCTTCCTGTCTGTCCCTGCGTGGATTTGGCTGGCTGCTCCTCATGCCACCGCTCAGATGGGTGGCAAGGTCTGGAATTCCCGTTGGCGGTGGTGACGGCGTCGCTAAGTGTGTGGGCTCTGGGGCCAGATGGCCTGGGTTCAAACACGAATTCTCCCATTTATTAGCCACATGAGCTTGGAAAAGCCCCTTAATCCACTGTGCCTCGGTTTCCTCATCTGTAAAATGGGATTAATAATGGCACCCGCCTCTTAGGTCGGTGATGAGGGTTGAAAGGGAATTTGTAAATGTGCTTAGCACAGAGTGAGTGCTTAACGGGGCTGGTTCAGTAATGTGGCTGCTGCTTTGTGAGAGAGCTCTTCAGCTGGCTGGCTGACCCTTCCTTCCTTCCTTCCTCCCTCCCTCCCTCCCTTCCTTCCTTCCTCCCTTCCTTCATCAGCCGGGCTGGCTAGCTCTTCATCTATTCATCCATCTACCTACTCACCCACCTCTCCACCAATCCATCCATCCATCCATCCATCCACCATCCATCCATCCATCCATCCACTCATCCATCCATCCATCTACCAATCCATCCACCCACCCACCATCCATCCACCCATCTGTCCATTCATCTACCAATCTATCCATCCATCCACCCACCATCCATCCATCCATCCATCCACCATCCATCCATCCATCCATCCATCCATCCATCCACTCATCCATCCATCCATCTACCAATCCACCCACCCACCATCCATCCACTCATCCATCCATTATCCATCCATCCATCCATCCATCCACCCACCCACCATCCATCCACCCATCTGTCTGTCCGTTCATCTACCTATCTATCCATCCATCCATCCATCCATCCACCCACCATCCATCCATCCATCCTAACATTACTTTTCCTTCCCAAATCCTCCCCACTTAGGACACAGAGCTCTATGGGCAGGAGGTTCTACACGGGGCACCTCATCTGCAGACATGGAAATAATCACCTGCAAGGGGCAGAGGGAGGCTGCCTGGGGAAAGGAGGAGAGGGGAGGTGCAAGGCCAGGGGTGTGTGTGGGGGGGTTACTGGGGTTGCCCAAGGAGCAGTGTTGTTAGGAGGGCGCATGAAGATGGGTTACACGGTAAGGGGCAGGGGCCCAGGACAAGGCCTCCTTAACACCTTCTCCAGCACATGCATCCTGTCCTGGCTGGGTCGTCTCAGCATATTTGCCTCTATTCCTGGCTCCTTCGGTGACAGTTTCCCTGACCACAGACCAGAAGGTCTGGTAGGGACAGTGGTGTTTGCACTGTGATTACTGGCTTGCGGGGCTTTTTGACATGCACGATGCTATCTGTTGCCGCTCTTCCACCTCACTAATAAAGGCATAAACAGGCCCAGAGAGGTGAAGTGACTTGCTCAGGGTCACACAGCTGCTGAGTGGCAGAATCCAAAGGTCAGCTCTTCTAGCCAGTCTGTATATTCAGTGCCTGAGGGCCAGTCCCCCTGGGGGAGGTGTGTTAGCTGCAGACAGTAAAAACGCATGCTGTGGGCAAAGGGGGTTAGTCTGAGGACCCGGGGTGCCTGAGGCTGGACTGGGAGCCTGAGCTGCCAAGAGGCTCCTTCTGTTCCAGCCCCTATGGGCATGACTCATCTGCTGAGGGCGCTGGCTGTGTGCACACTGCAGGCTCAGGCACTCTGGGCCAGCTCGATGCCTCATTCTTCCAGTCCACAAACCCCACAAAGGGACCCGTGGGCAAGGATCCATCCAGGGCTGGCCCCTGCTCAGCCACCTAGGGCAGCTCCCATGGACCTGTGGGTGGAGCAGGGAACTGGGAGGAGACAGGGCAAGTTTCAGAGGGAGGGATGGTGGCCGAGCAGACACAGTACCAGGTGTCCCCTGCAGAATAGATGGCCGTTTATTGAAGCCCTGCTGCAGCCCAGCCACCATGCCAAATTTGATCTTTGCAATGACCCTACCTGGTAGGTATCACCAGGCATACTTTACAGGTGAGGAAACCAAGGCACAGAGAGGGGAGGTGATTCCTGCTGAGCCACACAGCCCGGGAAGCGGTGACTTAGATCCAGGCCTGTTTTTAAATTCAAGAACCTTGAGATAAAATGAAAGCTCCCTCTGGACTGGTTTCCCTGAGAAATTTCTGTGGAAGAAAGTCCCTGTTTGACTCAGCGATAATAATGTTGTAACGAGGTGTTTATTGGGTCTGTCTGCAGAGGACGTCTTTGATGAGTTATTTATGCTGGCTCCCGAGAAAGTGAACGTCGTGAAGGAGGTAAGAGATCAAAGCTCTGAGCAGCTCTCTGGCCACCCGCCCGCCGCCAACCTGGGTCGTGCCTCAGGGGACAAAGGGGGGGGGGAACAGGGCCTGGTCCACACCTGCTGTGTGCCGGGTGCTGGGTGTGTTGGGGGGTTCTGTCCCCCTAAGCGGGAAGGCCACAACCCTGAGCTGGGGCCTGGGGACTTTGTCCTTTCTTGAATAGGCCATCATGACCTTTGTCAACCAGAAGGTAGAACGCCTGGGCCTGTCCGTGCAGGATCTGGAAACCCAGGTAGGGACTCAGCTGTGGGGTCCCAGGCAGGGGACAGCCGTCAGAGAGGAGGGCTCACGGGCCACTGGGAGCCAGGCCCGCCCTCTGTCACCTCTCAGAGCCTTGAGGTCCTCCTCTCTAGCTGGGGAGTGTTGCTGGCAGGCAACATCACCAACCAGGACACCGTGGGGATCCTGTGAAGTGGGGCCGTGGGAGCTTTACAAAGGGGCTCATCTATGCTATTATTACTCTTCATTGAAAATAACAATTTTCAGCTCTTTTTTCAAAATTAATCTTAGACTACCAGCTACCAGACTCAAAGCCCACAAGTGTTCCCCCGTAACACTGTATGCGCCCACCCACAGTGTTTTGTAGGTCTGGGCTATGTGCCCCGCGTTATAAATTAAGGCACAGAGAGGTTAATTCACTCATCCAGGGTCACACAGCGATTTATGAACCTGGGATCTTAACCTAGCCTGCTGAGGCCAGAGTTTGTGCTCCTCACCACCTTACATGGTGGCCACAGGAGACGTCTGTGTGTGGCATGGTGTGGTGACATGGCAGGGTGCAGACACTAGACTTTGAAGCTAGGTGGACATCTCCACAGTGGCTGTATGGCGCTGGGCCTGGACTTCCCTGAACCTCAGGCTCCTTGTCTTTTAAAATGTATGCAACAATACCAACCTCATACAATTGCAAGTAATAAATGAGATTGTGACTATTCAGTATTTAATATATTACCTGGCACACTAAATATATTATTGTTTAATTATATATATGAGAGAGAGAGAGAAACATCGATGTGAGAGAGAAACATTGATCAGTGCCTCCCATATGCACCCCGATTGGGGATCGAACCCACAACCAGGGTATGCGCGCTGACCGGGGATCAAACCCGCAACCTTCCAGCACACAGGTTGATGCTCACCCAGCTGAGCCACACCTGCCAGGGCATGTTCAATTGTACTTTATATGAGTATAAACAGGGTGACTTCGTGGGTCTGCACTCTCCCTGTTTCACCTCTCTGTGTCCCTCGGTAAAATATCGGTGTCAGAGAGCAAAGGCACGGACAGGGATGGTGTTTAGAGACGGCTGGATAAAGGGGAGTCTGAAGTCCCCGGAATCTGGTGGTGTCACCAGGACGTGTCAGCAGAAACGAGTTGAGGCTGAGCCAACAGCATCAGGGGGGACCTCACGTGAGGAATTTCCACTAAGGCCTGTGAGAGGTGGTGCCCAGTGCCCAGCCCCGTGCTGTATCGTTGAGGAGGCCGAGCTGGACGTGTTGGCACATGATCTACCGGTGCCAGGCGGCCCCCACGAGCCGAACAGGCAGGAAAATTCGCGGGCGCCGGCCAAGCGGGCCGTGCGCTGGGCCTGGCTCTTCCCCGTGGAGTCAGTTCACACTGCTCCCGTTTCCCCCTGCATCTCTGTAGCTCGTGGGCCCGCGTGTGGTTTAAAAACGATGTGAGGCTGTTTCACTGGCGATGTAAAACAGCTCCTTTATTGAGCACGTACTGGGTGCCAGGCGCCCAGGAGCCGCTTTACCCCCGCGGCGCCAGTGTTGGCGGCAGTGCTCCAGGGGCAGGGGTGCCTCCCAGTTCCTCAAAAGGGAGGCTGAGGCCCAGAGGGGCTGTGTGACCTGTGAGGGCCGCACTGCCTGGGCAAGGGGAGCAGGACCCCCAGGCTCAGAGAGGCTGCGTGGCCTGGGAAATGTGGCGTGGGCCCCCAGGCCGCGTGCCTCCAGGGATCGCCCTCGTAGTTTGCAGACGGGGTCACCTTACTCCTGCTGATTGGACAACTGGAAGGCTTCTTCCTGCACCTGAAGGAATTCTACCTCACTCCCAGCTCCCCTGCGGAAATGGTAAGCTTCCTAAGCTACTCCCCACGGTCTGCCTCTCAGGGGACAGGTCTGTGGAATGGGCAGGGCCAGCCTCCTCTCATTCACCTCCAGGTGGAGTGAAGGGTGGAGAGGAGGTTTGTCTGCTCCTATGTCTGCCCATCTACCCACCCATCCACCCACCCACCCGCACACCGATCCTTTGACTTGCCCATTTACCCATCCAACCAATTTCACTCGCCCTTCACCTGCCACCCATTCTTGTATCCATCTATCCAGTTCTCTGCCTGTCCATCCATCCATCCATCCATCCATCCATCCATCCATCCATCCATCCACCTGCCCA